ATTTTAGTTGACCCACAGAAAGTTGAAGCCGTGGTAAATTGGCCTAGACCAACAAATGTTACAGAAGTTCGAAGCTTTTTTGGGTTAGCCGGGTATTACAGAAGATTTGTCAAAGACTTCTCCAAAATTGCCTTACCACTGACACAGTTGACTCAGAAGGGGATATCATTTGACTGGACTGACAAAAGGGAATCAACATTCCAAGAGTTGAAAACTCGACTTGTGACTACACCGATTCTTACCCTACCTTCAGGTACGGATGGTTTTACCATTTTTAGTGATGCTTTTCATAAGGGTTTGGGATGTGTTTTAATACAGAATGAGAGAGTTATTGCCTATGCTTCCCGACAACTGAGACCGCATGAAAAGAACTACCCGACCCATGATTTAGAACTTGCTACAGTAGTGTTCGCACTGAAAATCTGGCGTCACTATCTTTATGGGGCAACATGTGAGGTGTATACAGACCACAAGAGTTTGAAATACTTCTTCACACAGAAAGAACTGAATATGAGGCAGCAGAGATGGTTAGAATTGATAAAAGATTATGATCTACAGATTTTGTATCATCCGGGAAAAGCTAACACCGTTGCCGATGCACTGAGTCGGAAATCGATTGGAAACTTAGCCTGTGTACTCATCGAACAGAAAGAGTTGCTTTGTGACCTTGAAAGACTTGAAATTGAGTTTGTTTTGCGAGAACAAGGCGGAACAATAGCTGCTATTTCTGCTCAACCGGCACTGATTGAAGAGATTAAAGAGAAACAACAATAGGATGACTTCTTGAAAAAGATCATCGATGAACGGGAATCCAAATAGAGGTCGGATTTCCAATTTGAGAACAATGTGTTGAAATTCCAAGGAAGATTATGTGTACTGAATGATTCTGAACTGAAAAGAAGAGTTCTGCAAGAGGGCCACAATTCAAAATTGTCTATCCATCCAGGGAATACGAAAATGTACCAAGACTTGAAATTGAATTTCTGGTGGCCAAGAATGAAGAAAGAAATTGCTGATTTTGTATCAAAATGTCTTCATTGCCAACAAGTTAAAGCTGAACATCAATGACCCGCAAGCTTACTGCAACCCTTACCGATACGGGAGTGGAAATGAGAACATATTACCATGGATTTCATCGTTGGTTTACCTCGCTCCAGTAAAGGTATGGACTCGATTTGGGTTATTGTTGATAGACTGACTAAATCTGCTCATTTCTTACCTGTCAAAACAATTTATAATGCGGACAAATTGGCTATACTCTATATTGATGAAATTGTGAGATTGCATGGAGTGCCTGTGTCCATTGTTTCTGATAGGGACTCGAAGTTTACATCGAGATTTTGGCAAAGTCTGCAAACAGCATTGGGTACTGAACTGAGATTGAGTAGTGCATACCATCCTCAGACAAATGGTTAGTCAGAAAGAACCATCCAGACTCTAGAGGATTTACTGCGGATGTGTGTTCTTGATTTCCAGGAAAATTAGGAAAGTCATCTACCGTTAGCTGAATTTGCCTACAACAACAGCTTCCATTCAAGTATTGGTATGACGCCTTTCGAGGCATTGTATGGCAGAAAATGTAGATCTCCGATTTGCTGGGCAGAAGTTGGAGATGGCCCTTTGCTTGGGCCTGAGATTGTGTATGAAACTACAGAAAAAGTAAAACTGATCCAACAGAGACTAAAAACCGCGCAGAGCCGACAGAAAAGTTATGCGGATGTCCGAAGGCGAGACAGAGAGTATGAAGTAGGTGATCACGTTTTTGTGAAAGTGACACTAATGAAAGGCCAGATTCGTTTCAGAGTCAAGGGTAAGTTGGCGCCGAGATATGTCGGACCGTATGAGATTATTAAGAAAATCAATCTGGTGGCGTATCAAGTAGCTCTTCCTCCTGAAATGAAGCATATGCATAACGTGTTCCATATTTCAATGTTGAGGGAATACCTTCGAGATCCCTTCCACGTAATTGAGCTTACTCGTGTAGTGCTGAGTGATGACTACAATTATGAAGAACGGCTCATACAGATTGTGAACAGACGGATCAAGAAGTTAAGGAATAAAGAGATTCCGTTAGTAAAAGTCGACTGGCAAAACCATGGTGGCGTCTATGCCACTTGGGAAAGGAAAGATAATATGCTGAAGAGATATCCTGAACTGTTTCCACTGAATCCTGTTTTCTTCCAGAATGAAGGTAATTCAAGTTTGGAGGACCAAACTATTTATAAGGAGGGGAGACTGTGACAACCCTCACCACTGTTTATTGATAAACCACTGATCACTGTTAAACTGAGACTGATTATGATAATTAACTGAATTAACTGAAATCACTAAACTGATTGATTGATTGTGCTAGTTTGAATGCATATCTATCTGTTGACTGTTAAATTATCTGTTCATGTTTTATGCTTTAAACTGTAAATTGAAGGCCTTATCGGCGGCCGAATCTGAAATTGATTAGTGATATGTGTTAATTATAATTTATTTGATTTTATGGTGTATTTAATTGAAATATGATTTGGTATGATTTAATTAGATTAAATAATGCTAAATTGCAATAGTTGGCTTAATTACCAACATGCCATCCTAGTGGCCACTTTATACAAAACATATTGAGCCTTATTACATTCAAACAAAACATTTCATCAGCCTTTTTCTTGAGAGCTAGCCGACTAGAGAGAGAGATAGGGGAGAGCTTGTTTTCATCTCTTATTTGCTTGGAGACTTGAAAAAATTGTAGGAGATTTGCATAATTGAGCTTCCCTTCTTGAAATTGAAGACTTAAGGTAGAGTAATTACCTTCTTGATTGTGTCCTTAAGTTGGTTCTTGCATGGTTCATGTCATATTGAAGAGCAAAGTCATGAATTGGTTCTAGCATGTTGAATTGTAGCATATATCCTGCATGCATGTTGCCATTCTTGAGTTTTGAAGTTATTGTTCATGAAATTCCTCATGCATGTCCATATTTTTGCATTGGACCATGAATTCATCTTGTTTCTAAAGAATTAGCTCATTAGAGCATGTAATTGAAGCTTTGAATTGGTTTAAACTCATGCATGTCATGTTTGAGTTATGTTCATGAAAATTGGTTTGAAATTGGATTTAATTGAACTACCTTTGGGCTTTGATTTCTCAAATTGATCTTTGAAACATGTTATATTATGAGTTTTGAAGTGTTTTCCAGAAAATTAGCCCAAAAGGATCGAATTTGGTACATTGAAACTTGGTTTTGAGCTTGAGGTTCGAATCTGGAATATCCAGATTTTGGACTCACGCTTGAGCGGAGTGACTGGCGCTCGAGCGTGAAATTCGTGCTTCCAGCACTTTACACTGTTTTTCAGTCCGCTCGAGCGGGGTATTGGACGCTCGAGCGAGGACTTGTGTCACACGCTCGAGCGGGTATCGAGTGCCCAATCGAGAGTGATTTTCACACATCCAATACTTTTTCAGTCTGCTTGAGTGGGAAAGTTTACGCTCGAGCGTACCTTTTTGTTTGCATGTCCGCTCGAGCGGGGAAAGACACGCTCGAGCGGGACCTCTGTTTCCTGAAAATTATGAAAATATTTTTAAAGTGCATCTTTGCATCCTCATTCCATTCTAGGCATTCTTAGGCCTAGTTTAAGGCATTTTAATGAGGATATTGATGTAGAACCACACCGAGTCAACTAGGGATTAAGTTACTATTTTTCCCAACTGTGTAGCTTAGTGTGTGTTCACTCTGTAACTGTGTAGGGTTGGCATCCGAGGACGCGTACTAGCTTATCTGTAGCCCCAAACTCTGTAAGTAACAATGTTGTAAAGATATGTTCAAAAATGAATATTTTCTGAATGATCAATTGAACTGTTTTCTGAACTGTTTACTGTTAACTGAATGAATGTTTGTCCTCTATTCTGAACTGTATTGTGACATCCTTAGCAACTACTGTTACCGTTACTGCTACTGTTACTGTTACAGAGATCTCTGTCAGTTCCCATGTTTGGAACCATTACTGATGGCCATCATTGACTGTTCGGTCTTTCAAGACCTACTGTTTACTGTATTGTTCTGCTAATGGATGTAGCACATATGACTGCTATGACTGAATGACTGATACACTGAATCAATTGACTGTTTTCAATACTAAAATGACATTCATTCTTAACCTCTTTACGCATTACGTTATTCACTGGGCTTTAGCTCACTGCTCATATATATATGTAGGTGTACAAGTACCGAACCGTTGCTAGAAGCGTCAGGGTAAACTCCAGTTTTTTCAAGCTAACCTTTGTGCCTCACTTTGAGGTTCCTGATCTGTTCAAGCTGAGGCTGCTTAGGGAGTTTTAGATTTCTCCTTTTTGCTTATAATCTGTATAGACTGAATGCTACTGTACTGTACTGTCCTAATAGGGATTAAGTCCCTGTCTTAAATGATTGTATATATTGTACATACTGTTTTGGTACTAATTGTATATGTGTATATGATATGGAAAGTCTTTTTGCATACAGATTGTCACAGCTCATTGGACATTGTCTATTTACTATTTTGGCTTCTGTCATGCCCTTGTACTCTGTATTATTGTTTGACTATTAAGCAGGCCTTCGGTAATCACGGATTACTGGCCGGTTACGGTACTAAACCCGTAGGGACGGGTTTGGTTCGTGACATAACTTGAGCTTGGTGAGAAGATCAGAGAAGCATCCTGGAAGATGAGCTTTGGTGAAGAGGTCAGTGGTCTGCTCAGTAGAGGTAACAAAGAGAAGACGAACAGTGCCCCGAGTAACATGTTGCCGTATGAAGTGCCAATCTATCTCAATATGCTTGGTGTGATCATGGAAAACATCATTATGTGTAATTTAAATAGCACTATGGTTGTCACAATAAAGGTTGGTGGCAGAAGAATGAGAAACTCCCAAATCAAAAAGAAGCCAACGAAGCCACATAAGCTCCTGAGTAGTGTCAACAAGAGCACGATACTCAGTCTCGGTTCTAGAACAAGCAACAAGAATTTGCCTCTTACTATGCTAGATAATAGGAGAGGTGCCCAAGAAGAAGCAAAACCCAGTAGTAGAATGACGGTCAGTAGGATCCCCCGCCCAATTTGCATCAGAAAAGGTATAAAGCTGTAGAGAAGACTGTGTGGAGTAGTGAAGACCATGAAACACAGTGCCTTTGAGATAGCGCAAAATGCAAATCAAGGCATCATAGTGTGGAGAATGGGGGGCAGCCATGAATTGACCGACAATGTGAACATCATAAGCAATAGCTGGACGAGTAACCGTGAGATAAACAAGACTGCCAACTAGCTGATGATATTTAGTGGCATCAGACAATAGGGAACCTTCAAGAGGTGTAAGACAAGTCTGAGGATCAACAGGAGTAGTGGCAGTCTTGCAATCGGTAAGGCCAGCACGAGCCAAGAGATCAGAAGTATACTTGGCCTAGGTAAGAAAGTAACCAGATGAATCTTGAGAAATTTCTAAGCCAAGGAAGTAGCTAAGCAAACTTAAATCTTTCATTTGAAACTAGCGACAAAGAAACTATTGGAGACTAGAAATACCCATGGGGTCATCTCCAGTGATAATCATATCATCCATGTAGAGGAGAAGGAGAATAGTACCACGCTCCGTCTTACGTATAAACAAGACAAAATCATGAGCACTGGAGAAAAAGCTAAAGTCATAAATGGTAGAGCTGAACTTGCCAAACCAAGCATGCAGAGCTTGTTTCAAACCATACAAAGTATGACAAAGTTTGCAGACTTTGTTTGATGGAACAAAAGAACTAGAAGGAGGTTGCATATAAACTTCCTCAGTGAGATCACCATTAGGGAATGCATTCTTGACATCCATCTGATAAAGACTCCAGTAGCGAGCAGCAGCCACTGCAAGTAAGTTGCGAACGGAAGTAAGATGAGCAATAGGAGCAAATTTTTCTTCATAGTCAATGCCATACTCTTGAGTAAACCCTCGGGCGACAAGGCGAGCTTTGTAATACTCAATGAAACCGTCGGAATGAGTTTTGAGCTTGTAAACCCATTTGCAACTAACAATACTCTTGCCAGGAGGAAGATCAACCACATCCCAGGTATGAGTTTTATCGAAAGCCTGCAGTTCATCAGTCATAGCTTGTTGCCAAAGAGGATTGAAACAAGTTTCTTGATAAGAAGTAGATTTATGAGAGGAAAAGGTAGTGGAACCAACAATATAATCACAGAGAAGAACAGAAGGTTGCTTTACCTATGTGGAATGACGCTTTAGTAGAGGAGGAACCTTAACAGGAGAAGGTGTAGGGCCATCAGCAGACATAGGATCCTCAGGATGGATAATAGGCGTAGGCAATTATCAAAGCATGGAATCAGAATCTGCATCAAAGTCATCAAAAAACAAGTCTACAGAGAGATCAGTAAAGATCGGTGAGTGGGCAGACTGTGATAAGTGAAACTTGGAAAGATTTGAGAACATTTTGTGTTCCCAAAAGACCACATGACGGGAAATACGAAGTCGCTTGAAGATAGGATCCCAACAACAATACCCTTTATGTTCTATACCATACCCTAGAAAACAGCAAAGACGAGAGCGAGGTTCTAGTTTAGTGTGTTCATGAGACTGAAGTAGAACAAAACAAGTAGAACCAAAAATTTTAAGAGTGGTGTAGTCAGGAGGAGAACCACACAAATGCTCATAAGGGGAAATATTAGCTATGACAGGTGTAGGTACATGACTTATGGTGTGGATGACAATGAGGGTAGCTTCCTCCCAAAGCTGCTTAGGATAAGAAGATGAGATAAGAAGAGCTTGGATAGTGTCAAGAATATGACGGTGCTTCCTTTCGGCTCGTCCATTTTGTTGGGACGTGCTTGCACAAGAGCGATGAGATAGGGTACCATTAGCCCGAAGAAAAGACAAAAATTCAGAATCTAAGTACACTTTAGCATTATCAGAACAAAATATTTTAATAGTACGAGAAAACTGAATACGAACCATGACAGAGAAATCATAATAAATCTGTTTAAGTTCAGATCTAATTTTTTAGAAGAAAAAATCAAGTATAACGAGAAAAATCATCAACAAAATCACAAAATATCTTGACCCCCCCCCCCCATGGTCGGTGTGGGGGAAAGCCTCTAAATATCTGAATGCACAAGATCAAAAAAGAACAGTAGACATAGAAGTACTATTATTAAAAGATAAAGCAAGTTGTTTAGCAATTTGACAAGATAAACAATCGATATCTTCAAGACGAACATGACCTAACTGACCACTAGAAACTAAAGTTTTTAAACGACTAAAAGAGACACGTCCTAAGCGACAATGCCAAAGCTGTAAATAAGACAATGAAGAAGTAGATGCAGCAAAAAAAACAATGGGAGCAGCAGTAGATGATGTGGGGAGAGCAACGGTAGATGATTTGTGAGGAATGCGAAAATGGGTAAGCTCGAACAGACATCCATGCTTACAGCCTATCCCAAGGATCTGTCTTGTCTGAGGGTCCTGCACCAAACAACCATTAGTAGAAAAGGTAACGGTTAAACCAAGTTCACATAACTGACCAACAGAGATAAGGTTCAAGTGAAGAGCATGAATGTGATAAGTATCAGAAAGAGACACAGTAGAAGTAGAAATGTGACCAGTGTGATAGACAGTCATATGAGAACCATCAACAATATGTATGATGGGGACAGAGAACGATGATGATAGAGAAAAAAGCATAGTGGAGTCAGAAGTCATATGATTACAGCATACGGAATCAAAATACTAGGGAGAATTACCTGAAGTCATTGAAAGAGCAGTAGAGGGAGGAGTACCGGATTTGGTAAGCACCTGTTGGATAATGAGCTGAACATCATCCATTGAGAATGAAGGAGCAGCGAAATCAGTGGAGTGGTGAGGAGAAGAACCCTTAGTGGCAATAGCAGTACAGCGAGAACCTTGGCCAGATTTGGACTGATACCTAGAACGAGAAGACCCTTTCTTGGAGGGGGCTCGAGGATAATGGCATTGGAGATGACTGGGAGCAGTCTTACGGCAAGTAAAGCATTCGTGAACCTGGCATTGAACAAAAGAATGAGTAGTTGGCAGGTCACGGTTGGAACAATACTGGCATGAACTAGCAGGATGTGAAGATGAGGAACTCTGTGAGGATGACGTAGTAACAACAGAATCCATATGCTGAGATTTGAGAGTCTTAAATCGAGTCTCCTCTGATAATAGTTCAGTAATGGCTTGCTCTAAAGTGGGCAAGGGAAAATGATGGAGCAATAAAGTACGTAAGGGCTCAAAAGTGTTATGAAGAGCCATAAGGAACTGTAATAGTCGCTGATGATTCTGATAAGTAATAAAAAAACTGTGCATCCTCAGAATATGCCCATGTAGGCTCAGAAAGAGCTAGCTGGTCCCAAACAGATGACATCTGGGATAAGAATTCATTGATAGATTGACCGGGTGCCTGGCGCATATGATGAAGAGTCTGCAATAGTTGATATTGATAAGCATGGCCAGTGGTCTGATAACGGTCCCTCAAGAAATCCCAAATTTCTTTGGCAAGGGAAGTAATTTGAGCATCATCTTCGAACCGACCAAATTGGAGATGAATGGAGGGCACTGAGGTAGCTCGGAACCAGGTGATAATTTGATAATTCTTACTTTTTCATTCGTCAAGACGATCATCAAATGCAGAGTCAGTCTCATCCGCTTTCTGGTTGGGTTTGGGAAGAGAATCGGTAATAATGTGCCAAAGGCGTTTCCCTTTGATGAAGCTATAGAGAGCCTGGGCCCAACTAACATAATTTGACCCATCAAGGATAACAGAAACAGAGTGGATGTGCTTGGTACGATCCATAATGCTCAAACAATGCAAAAAAGAAGAAGATGGTGCTTTTTAGAGGCTGATTTTGCCAAAACAGAACACACTAGTGGATTCAAGAGGTCGAAAATAGGTGGGATAGGGTCTAAATGGGCCAAAAACACGACCAGAAAGGCAGCAAAGCAGCTGGTCAAGATTGTTTGACCAAAAAAAGAGTACCAACACTAGGGCTGACGTCAGAAATGCGCAACGCACGTTAGCAAAGGTGCACGCGGCGTACGATAGCAAGAAGAAGCAGCAGCGGCGCACAGTCAACCAAGGCTGATGTCAGCGATGACGTTAGAACACGCAACTCACGTTAGCAGGTGAGGTCGCGGCGCATGATTAGAGTAGAGGCGCATGAATGCGCGTAGGAGACGGCACAACGTGTGCCTGATTTCTGGCAACGCGTGGAGACGATTTGGATGGCGTTGGCTTTGTCTTGAAAAGACCAAGATGATCGTATAGGCCGATCGTTGAAACATGAAAGGATGAGATATGCAAAAACCAACGTGAGAATGAATTAATCGGCCAGAGAAGAAAGAAAGAGAAAAATAAAAAAGGTGATGAAGACGAAGAGGAGGCTAGGAGAAAACCCTAGACTCTGATACCATATTAGAATAATAGAGAGAGAGGAAAATATTATGTATTGTATAAAAAGTATAAAAATGCACTGTTTCATACTTAAATAATTCGAATTGACCAAAACTCAAAGAACAAAAGTTGTGCAGAATCAAATTTCCTAAAATGAATCGCGGATGAATTTAGTAGAAACTGAACAGGTTAAGATAAAAACTTAATAAAAAATCATAACTAAAATTCGATCAAAAATCTGGAACTGAAAATGAAAAGAAACTGCTGTAAGATGATTTTTTTTGGAAAAATTCAAAACACGAAAAATGTTCATAATAATGTTTTACTTCAGTTCACGCGAAATCAATAAAAATGAGCTCGTTTCATAGGTTAAAACAATCTCTAAAATCTTCATTGGTAAAATGAATCAAAACTACTATAATCAAGATCATCTGATTATAAGTTATAATCAATCTTTTTAATAAAAAGTTAAAACACAAAAGTTGTCTAGAATCACGTATACATACCTTTGCTCAAATTTCATAATTTATCGAGGTCGTTTACTATTTTTCAAGATGTACAAATCAATACAATTCATCCTATACCAATAAACTTATAATTAAATTCTTTGTACCTTCACTTCACCACTTTGGCCTCCACTTCCGGCCTACACATATATCTCACGTGCCTCTCGTATACCTAACACCGCTCCGAAGTCAAAATTGCACGGGGATATCGTCCCGAGTTTGACCCACACTCCTGGATAGTTAGCATATACATATGTGCGTAAATCAAAGCACTCGTCTAATCATGAGAACGAGACAACAATATATATATATATATATATACACAATCTCTCATCTATTCATGAGAACAAGCATAATAATGCCAAGCCTGAGGCATTCAAATAAATCTTATAATCCTCACTTTTTTTTATACATTTTTTCTCACCAACACTTAAATAAAACAACAATCCATGAAGTCATGGCGGAGTGTAAGGAATTTATCTATGGGTTCCTAATTTATTTTAAGTTTATAGATTCATGAGTGTGATTATAATCATAAAATAAATACATATAAAACCCTAAACTTTACATACACATCTAACCAAATAATGAAATCAATCCATCATCTATATGCAAATACAAAATCAAACCAACATCAAATAAATATAAATAAATAAAAAAATAAAAATAACGAATCAATCCATCATCTAACCAATATCTGTGGATTCTAACACTACTAGAAATATGACTTTCTGCGTCTATCTTTTTGCGACCGTTTGTTTTGTGGTCGCAAAAAATCTCTTTTTAATTGACCCAACTGTGTTCTTAAAAATAAAAAAATAAAAAACCCCCAAATCACTAAAAAAAACTTGACCCGTCCTCCTTTTTTCCCCTTATTTCCCAAATCTGAACTCTCTCTCTCAAAATATGTCTGTCGCTCGACTCTCTTGCTCAAATCTCACTGTCTCTCTCACTAGACTCTCACTTTGAAGAAGATTTGAAAATTTTGATCGATTGTTGATGAAGAGTTGAAGATTTCAATCTGCTGTTGATGAAGATTTCGATCGATCCATAATCGAGATTTGGCACATCTTCATCGATTCATCTTCCTGTGGTTAAAAAGAATGGCAAGATGAGGGTATTGTGACAACCTTCACCACTAATTAGTGCTAATTTATGATTAAGCAGGTTAAGTGACTGATTGACTAAATTCTGAACTGATTGATTGAGTGTATTAGTTTAAATGCAGGTCTATCTGTTTGACTGCTAAATGATCTGTTCATGTTTTATGTTTTAAACTGCAAATTGAAGGCCTTATTGGCGGCCGAATCCGAAACTGATTAGTGTTTTATGCTAATTGGAATTTATGTGATTTTATGGTATTTTTAATTGAAATGTGGTTTGGAGCGATTAAATTAGATTAAATAATGTTAAATTACATTAGTTGCATTATTTACCAAAATGCCATCTAGTGGGCCACTTTTATTAACATCTTGAGGCTTGAACTACACACTTAGACACAACATTTCATCAGCCCTTTTCTTGAGCCTAAACCGTGTGAGAGGAAGAGTGAGAGAAATTGGTTTCAACTAGGAATTTTTGCTTGAACTTGAAAGGATTGAAGAGTAGATTGCATAATTGAGCTTCTAGACTTGAAATTGAAGACCTAAGGTAGAGATTTCACTTTCTTCATTGTGAATTTGAGTTGTATCTTGCAAGGTTCATGGTAATTTAGAGTTTAAAGTCAAGGATTAATTTGAAGAATTGAATTATGAGCTAATTCATGCATGCATGTCCATATTCTTGCATTTTGAGGTTGTTTTGCATGAATTCCTCCCATGCATGTGTATATTTTGAATGTGGTCTACGAATTCACCATGTTCTTGAGCTAAAACTTGCATTTGATCATGTATTTGAAGCTTTGAATTCAATTGAATACATGCATGTTATGTTTGAGCTTTGTTCTTGAAATTTATTTGAAAATGGTGTTCAATTGACTCACCCTTAGGCTTTGATTTTACAAATTGATCTTCAAAACATGTTATATTATGGGTTTAAAGTGTTTTCCAGAAAATGGGCCCAAGAGGTTGAGTTTTGATGTGTTGAATGCTTGGTTTGAGCTTGGGAGGCAAATCTGAAAATTCTAGATTTTGGCTTCCACGCTCGAGCGACCGTCTTTTGTTCAGAGCTCCGCTCGAGCGAAGGAATGGTGGCTCGAGCTTAAATTGCAAGCTCTCAGGTTTTTGGTGCACGCAGACGCACGCTCGAGCGAGGGAACCTACGCTCGAGCGAGGACTGTGTCTTACGCTCGAGCGAGCGTCGAGCGAGCATCGAGCGGCTGCTAAAACTGAGATAAGTAGGCTTTTGTACCTATCTAGGGGCCATCTAGTCTCCTAATTAAGGTGAATGAGGTGCCACCTCACCAATCAGCAGTTCTTTTCACACTTCCACAATTCCCCCCTCGTATTCCTTCCTTGCAATCAGCAATTTGTTTTTGTCCCTATGTTCTAATACACTCACATTTCATTCATGTTTTTGTTCTTTATATCCCAAACATTATAAATTTTTTACTACTTTTGTGCAATTAGTGAGTTCCAAGCTTTTTACTAACATATATATATTTTTAGTTGTGTAAGCAGATGTTTGTCAAGGATTTGATGAAGGATATGATTTTGGATAAGTTAGATGGTAAAAAGTACATATTTAGCTAACCCAAAGTTGTTGCCTTCTACTTGATATGATTTGTGCAAAATAGCATATAACTTGGAAGGCCCTAGTTCCCATCAAGGTAAAATTTAGTGTGAAGTTCAGTGCCATCCATATCAAATACAATACAAACTTCTTTATTGAAAATGATCACTCTGTTATTGGGGTTTGTACTTTTGGGTAAGAAAGTTGATGGAAAATTTGTGATGGAAAAAGGTCTTCACATCCTTTCTTTGACTCAGTTAACGGTCCTCCGCCGGACTTGTTGACAGTAATTTGGAAGCTCCTTACTGGAAACACTTCATCGCTTGAATTGTTCAAATTACTTCTCTCTGCAAAATTGTTGAATATGCTGTTCATTTCATGGCTGCTACATGTGCTTTGAATATCAATCAGACATGTTCTATTTAGGAAAGAAAAAATTCTAGATCTAATATTTTTTTAACTCTCGTTTCTGTCATTACAGGTCAAGCCCAAACCTAACTCAGCTAGCGTATAAGGACTTCTGAGATACTTAATGTTGACAGTTATTTCATTGATTTAAGGTTAGACAACGACCTCAATGCCTTCATTTCAAACTAATCGATGCGTGTTTTCTCACTATCTATAACTGAGTTGTAGGATTTTAAATTAGTTTTAGCATGATTTTAATACTACTCTTTAACTGCTTGTGGGAGAAAATGGACTTAAATAGGTTGTGTGTTGAAGCAATTGGTAGACTTATTTCATTCTCATAGGATGTCCAGTCCCAACCTCTCTTGTTATTGTTTTGGACTCAAATTGGTTGCTTTATGTTGAATCCCTTATTTCATTCTTATGGGATGTCCAGTCACCATCTCTTTCTTCATTGTTCTTATTGTTAATTTTGTCATTATGATTTTTATTCTAATCATTGTTTTTATGCGTAAACAGCATGAATCAGCCACAAGGGCTGTTGACAATAATGTGTGGGATGAAATTTGCAACTTCAAGAAATGTGTACCTTCATCTGTGTTACACTGTTTAAGTTTCAACATGACACTAGCTTACAAGTGAGAGAGAATGAGCTGTTAGAGCTTGTTCTATTCAATCTTTGTAATTACTGCAAAGTGGATCCATGGACCATGTCAATATAATGATATAAAAACAATTGGATTTTAATTCAAAAATCATTATGTGTTGTGTTGGGGCAGTCTTTCTACATATACCCAGCAGTGTTGTCTCAGTGGCATAATCAGTAGTGCTTGTGAAGCGAGTGCAAAGAAGAAAATTGAAATAATTTTTTCAGAAGAGAACCGAGTGCTAAAAGTTAGACATAAAACTATGTTATGCAAATTTTTTTGTATATTACTTTTTATATCATACTATTTGTTGCAATGACACAAATTCTTTGGATTATGGACTTTGAGCTTCTGAATATTCTTTGAAACTTTAGAACATGGACTGCTGGCATGGAAAAACTGATTTCAGTGTTCTAGGTATTACCATTATTCTAGTATCAATTTTTTTAATCCCCACACTGCTTGTCAATTGTATCCTTTCATTTGTGTGGTGTCTTTTTATGCTGCGAAGTTGATGAGCAGCATAAAGATATGTAGATTAGCTGAAATTTTCCCAGGCCAATCCTCTCAATTAGACTTCTGAGGAAATTATTCGTATGATGTAACCTACTAATACAGTTATTGCTTCCTTTTTATTTATCAAAAAAAAAATATAGCCTTTTACTTCTTTTTGACCCTTTGTTAGCAAATTGAGTACTTATAAACGCTGAATGTTATGAGAAAGGTCATAAAGTTGACTAGGTTGGGTGATCTTCCAATCTTAAGTCTCCAACTTTGCTCTGTTAGACCTCTTATTGTAATTTAGAACTTTGATTTTGTTGCTTTTCACATGTTGAATTTTGCCTGTGGTTTTAATATTGCGTTCTCCTTATTTGATTCCATGTACAGTCTGCTATAGAGCTTATATATTTGCTACCAATATGTTGAATTTTATTTGATTATATATATATATATATATATCTCTTACAATGTAGTTGTGAAGTTGTAGTATGAAGCATTTAGACACTGAACCAAATGTGGTGGCTGATTTTACCATCTTACATTTTTTAGCCTGGTAGTAAGTAGTCATCACCAATGGAAAACTGTGTGAAAAGTTTATTTTTTGATTTATGACAGGATTGCCTTTTACACCAATCGGGTGGAGAGAATTAACCAGCTATTTCTACAACCAGACATCATTACCTCTGGTATCAACGAAGTCTCATCAAATACAAAGCCTTTGATTCGTCAAATACGGAAATTGCCCAAGAGAGTTAAGAAACTAATGGAGATGATTCCTTATCAAGAGGCATGTGCTTGAAATTCCCTTGCTTACTTTGTTTGCCCTTAGAACCTAGTATTCCATACTACTTATTTGTTTAGGATTTTATTATATTTTTTGTTTCAGTTTACATGATTTAGTATTCTTCTTTTATTTTTTCTTTTTTTTAGGTAAATGAGGAGGAAGCTTCTCTTTTTGGCATGTCGTGGTTGCTGTTTGCAAGTGTCATATATGTACCTATATTCCAAAAAATCCCTGGAGGTAATTGAATCTCATGATCTATTATTGTAGTAGTTAAATTGAAGCCTCATCTTTGACTTCTTTAGTGTAAGATGGTTGCAGCATGTGGCATGATTTCATGTTTGGATGTATAAGGTACATGCACTTCATGATTGTTCCTATATAGTATCAGATAAATTTGGAATGGTACATGGAGGATTAGCATGGCTCCTGCAGAAGGATGGCATACAAATGCCACTATCTGAACTCTTTTATATCCAGGTTTTTCTACTTGGCATTTCATAGATCATGTTTCATTATCCTTGTTTGTTATTGATTATGCTTTTGTAAACGTCTAGAAGTAGAACACTATAATTGTTAGGAGTACAATTTAATGGGTTTGATAACAACAATCATACTGTTCTTGGACTCAGCCATCATCTGCATGTATTTTCTGGCCATTTTCTTCTTCTAGTATGTGTTTGGAGTTTTATTTGTTTCATTGATGATGCATGTTTTTAATCTGTTGCAATGTTTAGGCAGTCCTGTTCTTGGATATTTGACTGCTGTCATATTGATTGGACCTTATGGTCTCTCTATTATTCATCATGTACATGAAACAAAGGCAATAGCTGAATTTGAAGTTGTTTTCTTGATGTTTAATATTGGCCTGGAGGTAGAATCCATCAAACCTTGAAGTTAATTTCTCTAGACAGCTATTTGCCATGACATTTGACCTGCTAATAACACAAAGAAAAGCTAAGCATTTTGTCTTCATTTTGCAGCTTTCTGTTGAAAGACTGAGTACTATGAAGAAATATGTTTTTGGTTTGGGCTCTGCTCAGGTGGTTGGAAAACTTGTTTTTCAAATATTATCACTTGTGTTTTACCACAAGCCAGCAGTTTTATGTGCATTGATGCATTTGTATCTTAGTTTTGTTTTTTGTAACGTGCACAACAAATGCAGGTCTTGGTGACCGCAGTGGTGGTTGGCTTAGTTTCTCGCTTTATTGCTGGTCAGCCCAGTCCTGCTGCAATTATCATTGGGAATGGCCTGGCATTATCTTCCACTGCTGTTGTCCTTCAGGTAACAGTTAATGAGCAGCTTTGTAAGTTCTCATGCTATCCCATTTTTAGTTCTTATGTCACTTTGTTCCATTAGGATCAAGTAGTCAGGACTCAAAATTTGTTGGTTGATATGCTTTTATTAGACTAGAAATGTAAATTATAATATTTTATTTTATTTTTATTGTATTTTTTCTGCAGGTATTGCAGGAATGAGGTGAGAGCATGTCACTCCATGGACGAGCTACATTTTCTGTTTTGCTTTCCAGGTACCTGTGTGGTCTCAGAAATTATGTTGACCTTGGATGTCGTGAAGTCAATGAATTGCTTTTGGTGGAATTTACAGTGTCTTCTGATACTGTACAACTGTACTGTGCCATAATTATGTGTCTTAAAGGTGAACATTTTGGAACTACATACACCTGTGTAATGTAGAACACAGTTCTGATCCAATGTTGCACCATTTCTGCTTTTAGGTGTCATAATCTAAGACATGCATTTAAGATGCTTGAATTAGCAGAAATAAAGATAATGCGTTAATAAGTTTAGTCTGTATTTGTTCCTTAATTATCATATGTGATCGCACCTTCATAGTTTTTTTTTGTCAGTTATATTATCTGATTTGATTGTGTTTGTCTCTTTTGAACTATTGTTTTTATTGGCTCCTTTTTTTTTTTTTTTTTTCAAAAATCCGCATATCATGGTTAGTAGAGGCCCGTCTTCGGACCGGCTGAAAGGGGGTTGCGCGATGAGCTGACCTTGTTCCCGATCGCACTCCTACCCAAGCTCCCGAGCCGAACAACTCCGGTATGACGAACAATTTGTGGGCCTTCAGACACACGCGAGTCCAGGGTTTTTCCTAAAATTCCCCATTTTATATACGAATATTTAGCGTCGGCGACTCTGTACTCTGAACAAAGCAGTCCATATGTTAAGGCAGCTTACTTCTCTTCAAAAATCCTCTCTTTCTCAAAAGATTTGCAACAGATTTGGGACTCTTGTTGGTTTCAGGTAAGAACGCGAACACAAAATCGCGAGATCGAAACTAGTAAGAGACAAAGTCCCCTCCGCTGGCGCGTCTACAGTATATTCTGGCGACTCTGCTGGGGATTCACGAGAGCTTCCTCGAAGGCTCGTGATAGTCCTGTTTTGAATCGGTCATTTATGGTGTTCATTGCATTGCAATGTGC